ACATAAATCTCAAAATAAAATAATATAAATATTAATTATGTAATAAAAAACAATTCAACATGCCATCATCTCTGTCTTTTCTACAAATACTTTCATGGTAACTGCTCTGATGAGCTACTTTTTCTAGTTCACAGACTGCATGAATTTAAACGTGCTACTAGTCTAGCATCTTGGTCTCACCCTTTCACAGTCGAAATGGTTAAATGTAGCCGCCTCTTCTACTCCAATAACTTCATGTCTCACACTTCTCATCTGTAGAATTCCCTTTCCTATTACTTGTTTCCCTGATAGGTATAATCTTCAACTATTCAAATGTAATGTCAATCGGCATCACCAGATGCCTTGATCTATTCCCTGTTCTTCTCTTCATCCTTTCCTCTATCATACCTCTTTACTCTCACTCACACTCTCTGTAATCCCTTGCATGCTTCAGGTGAAATGCTTAAAAAAAAAGAAAAAGCATTTACAAACATTGTGTTTATTAGAAATTTAATGACATCACTTAGCATCCTTCATGATTTACATTGAATTTTCTGATGACTAGAAGTATATATATGAGAATTTAAAACGGTGAAATATTTATGCTAATTTTAAATATTGTTTATAAATACTTGTTGCAAAATAAAATCTTTATATTTGCCTTGATAATGTCCATCAGATGAAATATGTCAGCTAAGATAATTATTTTTGTTGTCTTTATTCATATATATATATATATATATATATATATATATATCTTGAAGCAATCCAATATCTAGCCACACTGAAGAGCTGTGATAAAGCAAAACAGTCAGTCTGTGGATGACTATATATAAGCTGTTGGGAAATCCGGTTGAGCTATCTGGAGAAAAGGGTAATTTTAAAAACAGTGGCTTCTACTGCTATTAACAGATTGCTCTTCAACTATGAATCAAGCTCTCCTGACTACTGGTGTATTTCATATAGAAAACGTTCAAATTTCCCTTTCTCTCTGCTATGTGATGATTGCCTAGGAGTAGAATCTCAGATTGATGCCAAATTGGTCAGGTTTCAATCCTGGCTTGAAGCAATCAGATGTATAGCCACACTGAAGAGCAGCGATACATTTAAACAGTCAGTCTGTAGATGACTATATATATATATATATATATATATATATATATATATATATATGCAGGTACATCAGTTAGTTCACATTTTGTGCAATTTTCAGTAGATAATGTTTGACATTTGACTAACAAGCATCACGGAATTCAGTGGCCTAATAATAAGATAAATATATTTTTTTTATAAAATAAATACATCATTAACCCAATGAACTTACTGATTTACCTATATATATATATATATATATATATATATATATATATAATAATAATAATAATGGACTCTCCCTTCGGTTTCGATGTATGAGAAACTGACAGCTTATTGATTCAGTTATGAAATTTTGTGCAATAATCTTAAGTGGCAGTTAAGACTTTCCAGTGATTTACAAAGGAGGCCACATATGGGGCAAGTGTGAGGATTGCGAGATGAGATCACTCTTAGATTGGCTGATCTTTTAGATCTTGCTTGTATTTTGCAGATGATTAAGACAAGTAGATTGAAAACTGGTGAGTCCACTAAACACATTGATTTCCATTCTATATATATATATATATATATATATATATATATATATATATGTGAAAAGCAATATTTTCAAAAGACAAAAAGAATATATTCATTGGTCAAAATAAACTTATTCCCCATATGAGTTGATTTTGGATTTCATTGTATTAATCTTTGCTCTGTAAAAATAAATGCATTGAGCTCTTTTTTTTTATATTACTAGGATATATATATATATATATATATATATATATATATATATATATATATTTACAAAGTTAGCACTCAGTGTGTTTCATGCTCATACCGACTCATCAGACCACCTTCTGATGATTGCATATAAACATGAAACAAACTGTTGCCTCTGAGTTTTGACTGCAATGTCTACGTTTATATTTACATACACCCTATCCCTGATATTGAGCACTTTAACCCATAAATATGGTATACCTTAAAACTTTATTTTATCATATATATATATATATATATATATATATATATATATACAGGGAAGTGGTTAGAGTAGTTCCATCAAGAGAAAAATTTGTATATTAAAAACCGCAAATGTTGTTGGATGTAACATGGATTTTTAAAAAAATATTTATATTGTGGTTTCTCTCTTCTTTTTAATATATATATATATATATATATTCAGTTGTACAGATATGTGTTTGTAACCCTAGGTTTCATGCTTTTGCGATCATCAGACAAACTAGTTTATTTTTGTATGTATATTTGCTCGAACACCAAATGTCGTATTGTATACAAGTGTGTGTTTATAATGAATAATGCATGTACCTGTACGTATGTATGTCTGCATGTGTATGAGTGTCATCCCAAAATGGACACAGAGAAGAATTTATATATATATATATATATAT